TTTCTGGGTTTTGTGGAACAAAATGTGGGTTTAACTTTTGTTTCTTTTTCATTTATGTCTTGTTTTGTTGGATTGAAAATATTGGTTTGGTCGTTCGTTTTTTAAAACAGTGAAAGAACAGTGTGAATTTAGGTAAGATGGATTTAAGCACGGGTTCATCTAGTACTACTAGATATTTGGGAGGTTTGAGGAAGTGTAATTGTGGATTGCCAGCCAAGATATTCACATCAAAGACCAAAAAGAATCCAGGGAAAAGGATCTTTGGGTGTCAATTGTATAAGGTATGTGTAATGTGTGTGTTTCTTATGTTGAGGTGAATCGAAGTAGCAAATTCTGAATTTTATTATGAATGTAGGATGGTGGAACGGAGCATTGCAAGTAATTTAAGTGGTTTGATGATGAAGAGTCTAAACGATTGCCGCGAAATGCATTGAGTCAAGCTATGGCAGAGATTGAAGAGAAGGAAAACATTATCCATGAGCTAAGAATGACCGTTATGGAACTTCGTACTGATTTGGAGAAGCATGTGGAAGACGCAGAAAAGTTATATATAAGCAACGATTGATCATAACAGGATTATCCGGATTGCTTGTATGTGCCATTGGAGCCATTATATTTGGTTGATGGTTGTCGATTTCTAAGTGTCTGTGTCTTTGTCTTAATGTCATAAACACATATGTGGTCTTCTAAAAATTGTACCAAAACTGTTTTGTTAACTACTAATGAGCAAACAAGTTTGTCATTCTCTTCATTCATTTGTCGTCATCTTAGAATTATATGAAGACAATCAGCTTAAAAATAATAATAAGCAAAGTTTAATGATTGATCCAAATGTACCAAAAAATACATGACAACATCCGATACGTGTTTCTCTTTGTCACGTACCCAGCAAAAAGGGGACAAAACAACCAATGTCAGCAACTAATGAATAGATACGTGTTTTTCTTTGTCACAAACCCATCAAAAAGGGACAAAACAACCAATGACAAAGAATAGAGTTTTCACGCAATACATCCGAAAATAGCAAACGTACATCACCCAGCAAAGTTACTCTTACTTAGAATACCGTTGGCTTCCTTGTGGTGCAGTTGATGAAACATCTTGAACTTCAGTTTCTCCTTGAGCTTCTTCACATGCTATCATTGCTTCTTCAAGTCCTGCTTCTTCTTGAGCGACCATTGCTGCTTCCATTTCTGCTTCATCTTGAGCCTCCAACTGAGCTGCATTCCGAGCTTCTGCAGCAAGCTTCCTTCTCTTTGCCCTGTTCTCCTCAGACTACAAGTAAACAACATAGTCAACAAGTGAAGAAAGTAAAAGGAATTGTCATTATTGAAATGAAATTATAAAGATTAATCACTACCTCTTTAGGACATTTTCTTGAATTATGGTCTGCCCCACCACATAAACTACAATGTGCTATTCGTCCTTTTCTACCAACCTTATATTTATTCTTATATTCTTTGTTGGTGATTCATTATTTCCTTTGATCCTTACTTTTCCCTTAGGTCTTCCAGGTGGGGGTTTGTAAGGTGGTGCATAAATGCGTCTTCCTCATGTCTCCTCCCAAAACTTAGTTCCATTCATAGGAGTCAAACCTCGACGATAATTGTTTCTCCATTTTTCTGTCAAATAGTAATCAGAAATGAAGTCCTCAACGTCTTGACAATTCTCTCTGATTGCACATATAGCATGGCGACAAGGAATACCAGTTAAATCCCACTTCCTACATGCACACTCCCGCTTAGATACTGTCACACTAAATCCATTACCAAACTCTAGAATCTCATATTTTCCACCAGTGCTTGAAAGGGAGTAACAATTCTGAGCCTCATCACATGATTTCTCAGTCTCCTTCCTTGCTTTCTTTGTGTAGTTGGCAGTCTCCTTCTCAGCTATCTTGAACCTAGATGCAATCCTTTGCATTGCATCTCTTCTAATCAACTCCAACATCTCCACAAACGGTGTTTTACTTGCTTTCTTCAATGTCCTATTATACGACTCTGTGTGATTGTTGTGTGTGTCACCACAAGTAGAACCAGTCCTAAAAAAAGCTTTGCACAAGCCTTAGGATCCATTTCTCTAAAAACAGCCAAGTTGGTCTTAAAATCTGCTTCATTGTAACTGCTAGCAACTCTCCAGAATAATGGGTTCAAAGTCTCTGAGTTGTGCAGCTTTTTAAGGTTGGCATAAATGTGTCTAGCACAAGCTCGGTGTTATGCTCTTGGTAACTCCTGAGCCATTCCATGAATGATGCTTCTGTGCATGTGTGATAATAATGTTGTACCTCCTTTTCATCTCATCTTTGATTTCAGGAGCACTAATCTCAGGGTCTCTTCTTATGTCTTCAAGAAACAAGTCAGCAATCACAGGACTCTTTATTTGCTTACATCTTCCCACCGGATGACATTGATGCTCATCATAGTAGGTTTTCACCATTCATTTCCCAATTGGATTCTCTATTGCACAATATATGTGCTAGCTACAACCCTTTTCATTACACTTAGCACCAAGTCTTTCTTTTTCCCACCTATCATACACCACATTACGCCTTGTCTTCAATATATATCTTATCACATTCTGCTTAAACTCTTGACCACTTGAAAATAGTTGTTTCAGGCTGAACACACCATCAAGTAAATTCCTTCTTACCAACCTCTCAGCTTGTTCTTCTTCATCACCAGAAGAAGCATCAGTAGCAGGGTAGACTTCATCTTCGTCTGAAATCTGTTCTTCATAACTCTCATGATTGAAAACTTCTAAATCCGCTTCAACAACCTCATCATCATCATCATCATCAGCTGATTCTGCATTGTCAGACAAACCAGCTTCTTCATCATTAGAATCATCATCATCAGACATCTCTATATCCGCTTCGGGTTCATACTGTGGGTCACTCTCTCCATCACTTGGATTCTCAACTGCTGTAGCTATCTCTGGCACTATATGTAGCTCCTCAACTACTGGTTTCTCAACATACACGTCCAGCTTTCTCATCCAACGACCTGCAGCTTGCATCTTTTTTTTATTTGCATCCACATTTTCCCAAAGAGGATGTTTATCTTCTAAGTCTTCAAATGGCAGCTTGTACCACATTCTCCCGACATCAATCTTTAGATCAAGCAACTTCAATATCACTTCTGCAAATATAATATCACGATCTACTTCAACAACATCAAGCACTCCATCAACGTAATCCAAGACACCATTTGTCGTTTTAAAATGCCCAGAATGATGGCAACTTACTGTAACAAGTGACTCGTTACTACACAATGAAAAAAACGCAAAATTTATCAACATTAGTCAACTGGTCGTCTTAAACAATGATAAAAAAAAAACCCGACAAAAACCCGACATAAACCGACAAGAAACAAAAGGCAAATCGTTTTTTTCAAACTAAGCAACTATCGAAATCGACACCACTTTTACTTTCTTATATAAAGTCCATAAACCCAGAAAAAAACTGAGAAGAAATCGATAAACTCTTTTAAACACAGAAACCTTTGTAAACCCAGAAACCCCTTCAAACCCAGAAAACAATCGATCTCGATTCACATTCAAATCAAGTTAAAACGAGAGAACTTACCTCATCGTAACGAGATTCACGTTTGCTTCAGTCAATGAGAGTAGTTTTTTGAAGATTTGTTCTTCTTCGTCAAGAAATAAGAAAGATATTTTTTTTTGTTTCTTTGCAAATCGTGAATGACTAAGGAAGAGGAAGAGACTTGGTTTGTTATGTTGCAATTTCAATTTGGTCTTAATTCAATTTGGTCCGGTTTGGGCTTAATTCAATTTGGTCCGGTTTGGGCTTAATTCAATTTGGTTTGGTTTAAAATTTTAATTTCGTGAGTCAAATTATTAAATGGGTCTTAATCGGGATTAAAGGACGTCACCGAATTCCGTCGTCCCTTAAAACGGAATGGTGTCGGAAGCTATGGTTATGGTGTTGCGTACATAACCAATGTTTGTTCAGATATGTGCTCATGTGATGTCGATAGTCTATGTAGTTAGCCAAACATTAAAATTGTTTGCATGTGTGCGTATGTGTTCGTGAATTGTCTGTGTAGCTGGCAAACAATTTTCCTGTTTGAAACTTTTCACTTATATTATAAAAATAATTAAATAAACAATATTTTATTGGTTAAGACATTAAAATAGTTCGAAGATAACTGTAATTAGTTTTTTCCTCCATAAAACCTATATTAAAAATATAAACAATGCTTATTTTAAAAGAAAAATTGATATAAAATTTAGAGTAGTAGATTTTTGTTGCTTATACTATAAATCAAATATTAACTTTCTTAGCATTTATGTGCTAGCTACTTTGCAACCTGCTTTATTTGACATTAATAAGAAAATTCAATTGCTACAAAAAGAAAAAAAAATACTCTTGAATTTGAATATATTTTTTGGTCAAAAACGGTTAACGCCAGATCAGTTGACCGGTGTATCAGAATTTTATGTCTATAGTATTGACTACATGACGTTGTATAGTTGATGCATGTGGTCATGCAATACATTTAGTTAGTATAGTTGAGTGTATAATATAATATTTGGCATGTGTGACCATGCATTTTTCTATTAGTTGGTGTAGCCGGTCATCTTTTTTCCTATCGTTCTCTTTGATCGAAGATGGAAAACAATAGCCTCCCACATTTTTTATTAAACATCAATTACTAAAATTTAACAAAAACGAATTAACAAAATCCGATCGATAATTAATGTAAAAAAAGAGTTAAATTTCATTGCTTCCACAATTTCTGCATTAATATATTTTTCATCATTATTTTTCATAGTGGATAAGAATTGCTAGGAAAACGTACGTACTTGGGTCTACTAACATAAATTAAAAAAAAAAAAAAAAATTGTCCATTTCTCTGAATTAATAAGTTTCGGTGAAGCTACCTTCTTCTTACCGAGCTACTCCTGTGGTTTCTCTCTTACACACACTTTGTTGTTTACTTGTCTGTATACATCATTTTAAAACTAATATTTGTTTTTTTTCAGACACACCATCTTTGAATCTTCACTACTTTTGTTCTGTCATATTCAACGATTTTGTCTTCTTTTTAATATATTTTTTTACCCTATTCAATACTCGTCAACTACACACACACACACCACTAATACATTTATTCATCTCTGTATATATATTGGTGCTACTACTTCTCTCAAACTTATTGCATTCAATTCCTAATTCCTCTTTTTAGTGGTCTTCTCTAGACAAGAAGACATATAACAAAGACTTGACCTTTTTAAAAGTCTTTTCTTGGTGTTGATACTCTGCAATCTTGAGGTATGTCTCTGATTCTTTAATGGGTTGATCATAGAAGATGGATAAGATCATAAAGTTTTCACCTTTATGGAGTTTTCTGAATTGTTTTTGTTTAAGATGCTTTCAATGTGTTTGTTGAAATGTCTGAGTGAGATTGTTTTTATTTCATCGTCGGCTACTACAATAATTGGGGTTGGTGATGATAGCAATAATGACTCAGTAAAAAGAAATGAATTGTTTATAGAAAAAGATTCGTTTGTCAACGTTTTTTCGATATTGATCTGAAAATTTGATGCGTGTGCAGGGGATTTGTATATTGGGAGCAAACCAACTTGAAGAAGAGATCGTGTTCTTTTTATATTTGTTGGTTTTGTCATGGGCCTTTCTCTTTCCTTGCTCTTGTCTGCTTGGAAAGAAGTCGTGACGACCCAGTTCTTCAGTTTCAAGAACCCTGTCGAGAGTTTTCTTGGAACCAGATCTTTTAGCTTTAAGTTGAAAGAAGGAGTCTTGAATTCAAGAACCAACAGTTTCAAGAGTGAGAAGGTATCTGAAAAGACCGGTATGGAGCGGTCATTGAGCTTTAACAGCTGGGAGATTCCAACAGAAGTCGAGGCTGTACAGATGGACAAGGCTGATGAGGAGATTGTCGAAACGAAGAAGCCTGCTCGTAACAGTTTAAACGGAAGAAATTGCGAGAGAATCCAGATTACAAAACCTACGATTACTCCCCCTACGCCTTTTGTGTTCTTCTCCCCTAGACCTGTCACAGAGCTTGATGCAGCTGCAACTACGTTACAGAAGGTGTACAAGAGTTACAGAACAAGAAGGAACCTAGCAGATTGTGCTGTTGTGGTTGAGGAGCTTTGGTGAGTCACTTGATAATGATCTATCCTTTGCTAGTAATGGGGCTCAAGTTGTTGTAGACTAACCTGTTTTATTTCTTCAAATGTTTCCTAGGTGGAAGACTCTGGATGCTGCAGCTCTGAACTTGAGCTCGGTTTCATTCTTTGGAGAAGAGAAACATGAAACCGCTGTTTCGAAGTGGGCAAGAGCTAGAACACGAGCTGCTAAGGTTTGACATCATTTCCATAAGTTATTATCTATGTTTAGAGTCCATAAGATTTTATATCTCTTTACAATGATAGCTGATGTGAATCCTGCTTTTGTATGTCATTTAGGTTGGCAAAGGATTGTCAAAAGATGAAAAAGCTCAGAAGTTAGCTCTTCAGCATTGGCTTGAAGCTGTAAGTACTCATATTTGCTTTGGTCATGGGAACAATCTTCCTGTTTTTTTTGGATTTAATCTAACTTGAGTCTTCTCTGTCTTTACAGATTGACCCACGGCATCGTTATGGCCACAACTTGCACTTCTATTATGATGTCTGGTCAGCAAGCATGAGCGCACAACCATTCTTCTACTGGTCAGTCTAATGACCTTCTTTATTTCCTTATTGATGAATGAATATGTTCTGAACTTTGTTTCCACCTATTTGAAACTGTAGGTTGGACATTGGCGATGGAAAAGATGTGAATCTTGAACACCACCCGAGAAGTGTTCTGCAGAAACAGTGCATAAAATATCTTGGACCGGTGAGTCTTTTTAGATCTGTTCTGCAAAAAAAAAACCTTCTCTACCATATTCTTACCTTCTTTTTACTCATAACTGTTTGTGGTCTTCGACTTGCAGCTGGAAAGAGAAGCATATGAAGTGATAGTAGAAGATGGGAAACTAGTGAATAAACAAAGCATGACTCTGATCAATTCAACAGAGGAATCAAAGTCGATTTTTGTACTTAGCACCACTAGAACCTTATACGTAGGGCAGAAGAAGAAAGGTCGTTTCCAACACTCCAGTTTCTTGTCTGGAGGTGCCACAACTGCTGCAGGGAGATTGGTCGCCCGCGATGGGATCCTCGAGGTGTGTTCCTATTCAGCTTTCTTCCTACTTTCAAACCTCTTAGCCTTTATGATGAGGAGCTAACAAAACACATTATTTCTCAGGCTATATGGCCATACAGTGGACACTACCTCCCAACAGAAGACAACTTCAAGGAATTCATAAGTTTCCTGGAAGAGAACAATGTTGACCTCACCAATGTCAAGGTAAGGAAAAGAAACATTTCTTGCATACATGCTAAATATGAAAAATGGTGTGTACTCACTTGTTTTGAATCTGAATGCAGAGATGCTCTGTGAACGAGGAATATTCGTCATTCAGTTCCAATGGCTACGAAGAAGAAGAATCAAAAGGAGAGGAAGCAGAGAATAAACCAGTAGAAACCATCACTACAGAGGAACCACAAGAAGAGAAAGAGATAGAAAGACCGGTCTTTGGGCTTGCAAAGAGACTGTCCTGCAAATGGAATAGTGGGGTTGGTCCAAGAATCGGGTGTGTCAGAGATTATCCAATGGAGCTTCAGTCACAAGCGTTCGAACAAGTCAGTTTGTCTCCTCGGATTACGCCTGGTTCTGCACGTTTTCCATCGCCTTACGGTCCAATTCCTTCGCCAAGGCCTAGTCCTAGAGTAAGAGTCTCTCCACGCTTAGCATACATGGGAATCCCAAGCCCTAGAGTGCAAGTAAACTGTTAGGGCCTTTTGCTCTTTAACTTAATTCACCAAGAAGTTAAAAATGTTATGACCTTTAAGCTAGTGAGATGTGAGAAGAAAGGTTCATCACTCTCTCATCTTTGTTCTTTAATTCAATGTCACATATTTTTTTTTTGTCCCTTTTTTTTATGGGTGCATTGTAACTTCTGGTTTAGGTGACTCCCATAGGCTGTAAATTCATTTGGTAAACTTTTTGTACTAGTGTTGGATTTTGAACTTTGAATAAAATTTTGTATTAATATTTTAATAAGAGAAATCCTACTATATTAACCAGAAGTATTCAAATGAAGAGAATCTTATAAATTGTAAGAATTTACATTGAAATGCCATTAGAAAAATTTTAAAATGAAAAAAAAAACATTAAGTTAATAAAGATAATTAAACAAATTAAATATATAAAATCGCAAGATAATCTATAAACTATAAATAATAATAATTAAATTATATATGTAGTACATAAATATTCAATTAAATAATAATAAAATAAATTATTACAAATTTATATCAAATAAAGAGTTGAATCTACGATTTAGCGTGGATTAGTACATAGTTTTTAATTAAACGGTTAAAACAAAAATTCAAGAGTCCTTTGTGGAAAAAAAACGTGGAAGAGTTTCAACAACAAAATTCTCCTATTATCTTTTATAGGATTTGAACCAAAAGAGAAAAAAAAAATCAATAATGTATCAATCCAAGACTTGACTTGACTTTTTACATGGCCTCTTGTGTGGTCTTACTAAACCACCTTTAATTGATTTTGTCTATGGTCTTTTATTTCCTACGCACACGATCTTGATTTCACCATGTGGTAGGATGATTCTTACGCAAATCCCATGTAGGTATAATTTACACAAGTTATTATTTTTATTGGGAAATTTATTAGAGATAAGCTTGTATACAACGAAACGTGTCATTGAAAATTTGTTTATAATACTACTTCAAAATAGGAGTATATATTTAAAATTTCACCCTATTTCTAGGTTTATTCACAAAGTACCAAAGTACGATGTTTTAAGATTTTTTTATTGTTTCTCAAAAATTGATGTTGTTGATTAATAATCTATTTTTACTTTATACTTTTATTCACATAACAGTTATTTAAGACTATCAACAATGGTTTATCATTCAACACCCACCACATCATCTCATCTCTTTTCTACATCAGTTTTTCTATCATCCACATAATAATTCAATATTCACTCAACTTTTACATACTACAATGGTTTTGTCTAATAAAATTTAACATCCTACACTATTAACATTTTACCATAAAATACGTTTTTTCCTATGTTCAAATTAAATGAATCAAGTTTATATCTACAGGGTATAAAAATGATAATTTTTTATATAAAAATCTAAAATTAATAAATTTATTTAGTTTTAAAAATTGACATAAGAGAAAATAGAATATCAAAAAACTGTGCAACCAATAAATGCATAACATGTGGCATCGATGGTCACACTTGTTCTTTTTTCAGCAGGTTGAATCTTTTCAACACCGTTTAACCACATAGATTCAATAACCTATTTAACATCCCTATTGTATGGGTTCAACTGTTGACTTTTTTTTTCAACACCCCATTGTAAGTAGTCTAATAGCTTATATTTTCTCTTTCTACCATTTAGTAATTATAAATTAATTCATAAACAAATATTTAACTTTATTTTAAAATATGCAAAAATACCAAAACATCAATTTTTTTGAAATGGAGGAAGTATATATTAATTACAATTGTAGTGGTGTGGTTTTAAAGAAAACAAAAAAAAAATCGATGCAGACCAACTGCAGATTGTTTTTATGTATAAATAGAGTTGTTCCAACACGGTTCGTTGTTTGCCCTAAAACTAGAACGGACTAAATCTCTGACAGATTTGTCCATCTCGACCGCTGTAACCATTCAAGCTAATAGTATAAAAATTTATCATAAATACATATTAAACATATTTATTATTACATATTAAATCATTGTATAGATTTGTCTCCCTACCAATTTGTCTAGTCTCATGCAAGTGTAACCATTACTAGATTGTTTTTAAGCTAATCATTGCATAAGAATGACAAATTACTAGAAAGATTTAACTATTCGGTTAGATTTTTATAAAATCACAATTAAACCAAAAAAATAAAGTTTAGAAAACAAAAAAAAAACAAATTACCATTTAACAATGTAAAAAATATAAGAAAACACACACAAAAGAACATTAAAACCAAACACAAGTTTTAAAATCGTACTTACAAACTATAAATGATTAATTAATTAGGTTTGCAGTAACAAAATATTCTTTTTATTTCCTCGTATTTTGCATTACCATTTAAGTGAAGCATGCGTGCCGTTGACTCAAGAACCTAACCAGTCGAAGTTTTTTTCAATTTCAAAACTGCTTTTTTAAATTAAAGTTGGAGAAGAAAAAGATCTGACACATGGGCTATTAATCTGGCCCAATAACCATATTGGTCAGAACTGTCCGACCACGACAATGTTTGGAATTAAATTATGGCCATCAGGTGTTTGAAAAGTATTAATTAAAAGATCAATTAAACAAGATGATAAAATAATACCATGCAATTTCTTTAGCATCTTACATATTAATAACAAAATTTTATCAAATATATAGTACCAAATTTTGAGGCTAATAGTGTGCTTATTAAGAAAATTAAGCCTTACAAACATTTTGTATTTTTATTTAAATAAATCAATCAATCATAAAAATCTTATAGAATAATTGTCAAGTATGTAAACAATTGTCCTTCGACTTGGTTCCTAATCTTAGGCCCATTTGATGAAAAATAATAATTAATCAATCATAGAATAATGACAAATTCCTAGTAGTTACATATTTTCTTTATTATCTCCAAAGTCACATCATTTTGAGTCAAATGAGACTGCTAATGAAAAGTTAGCACCATGATCGTCTTTTTAACAAAAAACTTAACGATATGGTTAAAATGGTTAAGTCAACAAAACTTTACTATCCTATCAAAAAGTTAAACTTAACATTTCAAAATATTATGTTCCTCCTGTCTCATGTTTTTTTGACATTTTTATTGGATTTTAAATGTAAACACGGCGATGAATACTAACCTTGACCGAAAAAATATAATTCATTTTCAATTAGTTTAGTGTTAATGCATTCATTTTAAAGGTTAAAGTGTGATATAGACAATTTGTAGATAATCAGATTTACATATATCTCCTAAACAATTGATCTGCATTGTGCACAAATATAGATTAACTAAAAATTCACAATATATATATATATATATATATATATATATATATATATATATAGTGTGTGTGTGTGTGTGTGTGTGTGTGTGTGTGTGTGTATGAGTAGTTTTCATAATTTTTACATATTCAATTTTTCATTTGTCTTAATTTAAAATAAACTTAAACTGTTTTGCACATAGATGAAATTTGTACTGACATAAATAATAAAAAGAATATTTTTACATTTTTTACTATCAAAACAAATTTTTTTTTTGCATATTACAGAATACAACTGATTACAGAAAAAAACTGCAAAGAAATATAAAATCATCATTTAATCTGATTTTGTTTCTAAATCATTTTAATATAATATAGACAGAGAGGATATAATGCACATAATTTATTCATTTATAGGAGAACTTCGTAAACTAATTATAATAAAGAATCTATTTTTTAATATAAAATTATTTTAATACTATTTAAAAGAAACTAATATTAAATTCAGTTAGAGAGGTTAATTAGACAAGTCATAGGTCTAATTAGTACAAATCACAAAGTCCAAAAAAGGCATCATAGCTTTTGAAAGAGAGAATGTGTTTTCGTAAAGAAAAATCTGATTGCAACATTTTGGGAGTTTTAAATTTCGAATCCAATGATATATGAATAATACAAACAAAACAAGGCATTACATGAACATGAGTGAGTCCTCAAGATAAAACAACAAAAAGCCTAATCTCTCTATAGAATAAATATATAGTTATATAGTTATAAATTTATTATTGTGCCTTTTCATGGTTTCTTTTTCATGCCTGTAACTCTGAGAAGGACACAGAACACAGTAAGTAAAAATAAGTGTGAAAACATAACCAAGAGACAAAAGCCTAAAGACTCGAGCAAACTTTATTCTTATTTTATTACTTTGGTCCAAATCTTTGGTTCTTTGCTTTGGTTTGTTCAAATTTCAAAAACGTCTCTTTAACCCACCACTCCCTCCATTACCACCACTACCACCACAACTTCACGTTCTCCTATACACTCTCCTTCTCTCTCTCTCTCTCACTCTCAAACTTTTCTACATACCTGAAGAAAAAAAAAGAAAAAACTCAGATTTGTCTACGAGTTCGAGCCATAAAGATTGAAACTTTATCTTCTTTTCTTCATCTATGGGTGCTTCAGGGAAATGGGTCAAGTCTATCATTGGTCTTAAGAAGCCAGAGAAAGATGAAATCGTAAGTGGGTTACTCAAAGTTCTTAACTTTTTTGTGTTCTTGCTTTTAAAGGTGAGAACTTGAGACAGAGATACTCTGTTTTTTCAGGAAAAGGGTAATGGGAAGAACAAGAAATGGAAGATATGGAGGAGTACTTCAGTGGATTCATGGAAAGGTTTTAGTAGAGGAAGACATCGTTCTGAATCAGAAGGTCTTGATTCTTCAACTGTTTACTCTGCAGCTGTAGCAACTGTTCTTAGAGCTCCTCCTAAAGATTTCAAAGCCGTTAGAGAAGAATGGGCTGCTATCAGAATCCAGACAGCTTTTCGTGGTTTCTTGGTGAGTTTATAACAGAACTGAGTGAAACAAATCTGAGGGGTTTTGTTTTAAATTCGTAATTGAATTTGAATTTTGTGGTAATTAGGCGAGAAGAGCGTTGAGGGCATTGAAAGGGATAGTTAGGTTACAAGCTTTAGTAAGAGGAAGACAAGTGAGGAAACAAGCAGCTGTAACATTAAGGTGTATGCAAGCTTTGGTGAGAGTACAGGCTCGTGTTAGAGCTCGTCGTGTGAGGATGACTGTTGAAGGACAAGCTGTTCAAAAGCTTTTAGATGAACACAGAACCAAATCTGATCTTTTGAAAGAAGTTGAGGTTGTTTGTCTTTTTCTGTGTTCCATTGGTTTAATTCAATTGTCAAGATTTGTTTCTTGTTTTGACATTTGTTGTATTCTCAGGAAGGGTGGTGTGATAGGAAAGGTACTGTAGATGATATTAAATCTAAGTTGCAACAAAGACAAGAAGGTGCCTTTAAGAGAGAACGTGCATTGGCTTATGCTCTTGCTCAAAAGGTAAACTAACTGTGTCCTGATTTAATATCTTGGTTTGAGTTGATGTCTAAATTGGAAATGGTTCTTTGCAGCAATGGAGGTCAACTCCTAGCTCAAATCTTAAGACAAACAGTTCAATTTCATATCTTAAAAGCCAAGAGTTTGATAAGAATAGTTGGGGATGGAGTTGGTTGGAGCGTTGGATGGCTGCTAGGCCATGGGAGACTAGACTTATGGACACTGCAGATGCTGCTGCCACGCTTACTCCTCCACCTCCTAAGCATTTGAAATCACCTGAAACCACGGATGTTGTTAAAGTTAGAAGAAACAATATGACCACTCGTGTGTCTGCAAGGCCTCCTCCTCATATGTTGTCTTCAAGTCCTGGTTATGAGTTTAATGAGAGCTCTGGTTCATCTTCTATCTGCACTTCAACCACACCTGTTTCTGGAACCACTGGCCTTGTTTCAGACAACCCTAGTAGTCTGAACAAGAACAAGCCTAGTTACATGAGCTTGACTGAATCAACTAAGGCTAAGCGAAGAACTAACCGTGTTCTTAGGCAATCCATGGATGAGTTTCAGTTTATGAAGAACTCTGGATTGTTTACTGGTGAACTCAAGACTAGTCCTGCCTCAGATCCATACGTTAGTTTCTCCAAACCACTCGGTGTGCCTAGTCGATTCGAGAAGCAGAGAGGGTAAAGTGACCTTGTAAGATTCGTTGTCACTTGCTTGAGGGAAGTTACAACAGCTTGTTGTTGTCTTGTGTTGTGAGATATCTGTGTATGTTAATTGTTCTTTCTTCCTATGAAACTACATTGGAGTTTTGAATTTAAATATAAGAATCGCAGTTTCGCTTTATTTCGATTATGAAACTCTTAAGTTTATACCATCACTTGTTTCAAGAATCAGAATCTTTTGATGGCTTTGAGCTTAACTCCATTCTTGAAGCTGAGTATTATACCATAATCAAGCTGCAGTGGTTTCTCCATTTCTGGAGAATGTCTGAAAATGTAATTACGGTAGAGATGCAGCAAGGTGAGTTTGATCTCCTGCAGGGCAAATCTTTGTCCAACACAGGCTCGTGGACCGATACCAAATGGGATGAAAGCATATAGATGCCTAAGTCTTTCCTCTTCTCCATTTGGATCAAATCTTTCTGGCTTGAACTTCTCTGGCTCTGGAAAGTTTTTGGGGTCCTTTGCTAGAACTCCTAGTGCCAACCAAACCCATGTACCCTAAGAAACAACAAAAAGGTAAGTAATAGAGTAAGTGAACCCATCCGCTTGATGAGTTTGAATGGTGGCAATGGACAGAGTTGATGAATATACCTTAGGGAGTAAGTAGCCTCCTATCTCCACTTCTTTTGCAGTTTCCCTTGCAACCAAAGGGGATACCATGTAGAATCTCATAGCCTCTTTGATGACCTACAAAGGAGGAAAAACTAAAGCATCAGTAAAGATTCTAATACATTTGCAGAAACTCAACTTCTCGGTTTTGTTTGTTATGAATGTAGTACCTGATCGAGGTATGGGAACTTGTACTGTAAGTCATGAGCAGTCGGGATCAGATCACGGCCTCCAAACCCGTCAATCTCTTGAAGCAGACGTTTCTCAACATCTAAATGACCAGAGACTAAGTAGAGAACAGAGGATAATGTGAAGGCAGTGGTTGCAGAGCCAGCAAGAAGATGCTCATAAGTCACAGCGCTAATATAATCCGGCGTGAAGATGTTCTTGGCGAAAAGATCAGACTCTCTAGCTTTCAAGATCAATGACAAGAAGTCTTTTGAGTCAGTCTCAGCCTCCTTGGCTCGCTTTGACACAATCTCATTGAGTTGTCCACTAAGTCTTGCATTAGTCTTTTCGACTCTCCAGTCCATTGTTCCCGGTATCCTCTTCAAAACCTGCCTAAATGGCTCTTGAAGAATAGGAATCAGTAAGCCTAAGATGATGGAGAGTGATCCTGATAGATCCATCTTGAGCTGTGTTGTAGAGTAGACATGTTGGTTTATAAAATCAGTCACCTCTACATCTTTGCTTGGTTTTTTCCCTGAGAGGCCAAAGTTGACTCCAAAAGCAGCTTGTCCGATAATATCCGTTGTTAGTTTAAGGAAAAGGTTGGAGAAAACGATATCTCGCGGTTTAGAATCAAGATTAAGAGTAGCAGAAGTGATGAAACTATGCATTGTGGGAATAAGACTAGTTAAATGTGAAGGCTGGTATAGAGATAAGATGGTGTTTCTCATCTTAGACCATCTCTTGTCCCTGTCAAAGATCCATGACTCATTTAGTGGTTATAGAAACAGAAGCATACATGTTCTTGTAGAGCATAGATGTACCTAGTGAAGAAGAGGCCTTTCTTGTGAAGAGGAGAGGCTGAGATTGGAGAAGGAATGCTTCTATTTGGAATGTCTTTGAACTTCTTTATCCCAACTTCTCTGCAAAGCTCTGCTTCTGCAATTATTATTAATGGTTGCCTCCCCATCTGAAATCTGCATTTTTTATTTTGTTAAGTTGAATTAAACTTGTGTTCATCAATCAGCCAATAGCAAGCACATGAGATGTGCCAAATCTAAACCAAAATGTTTAAAACAAAAATTTAAAGGGTTTAATGTGTTTATAATATGTTTGGTTAATTAAGTTCCATTATTTTACAATGAAAACAAATTGATACTGAAGTTAACTGACTAATTTTTAGTGTTTTATATCAAATCAAACTATTTTGAAAATTCTTTTTAAAAGTCATATTTTTTTAATTAATTTTGTTTAATTTCCATATAATATTAATTTAAAAACTATTTACATTCTTTATTTACAATCAAACTGAATCTAAACCAAATTACAAATGATATATACTTTTGATTTCATGAAAACCTAAAATTAAAAATCTAAAATCTAAACTTTAAACTCTAAACTCAAAATTGTCCACTCAAAACAAGAATCAAGAAAGACCTACTAGTACCTGAAGATAGGGCCATATTGCTTAGCAAGAACAGAGAAGACATCAGGACCATACTTAGCCATCAAGGGCAAGTGACCAACAAGAGGCATAGCGTTTGGACCGGGAACATTGCGAACGGACCAGGACGGTCGGTACAAGTAGACCACAACCACAACAGCTGCAAAAGTAGTCAAGAATAATGCAACAAGAGGTTCTTGTTGTATCAATAATGATGGATCAAGAACTTCCCACCATAGATGTTGCGTCTTCATTTCTCTAACCTCTTAAAGTTTCTCTCTTTACTTATTTAATGTGTGTGTGGGTTATGTTGGGTGATTCATTCACTTATAGCTAGAGGGATTTATATAGTTATTGATGTGCTTTTGAAAAAGAGTGGGTTCTACATTCTTTCCACTAGCCAACTTTTAGAATAGTGTTGAGACTATTTTGCAAGAAGACAAAATGCGTTGAAATTGTTAGTCATTCTGATCTCTCTACTAGAGTAGTAGTAGTACTACTACTAGTCCTATAGAACGCACGGACTTGGTAGTTGGTATACATTTTTACGTTTATTTTTCATGTCAATCGTTTTACATTTTAGTTATATTTACATTTACAAATAAGGGAGAAATTGATTAAGTTACATATAAAACGAAAATATTATAGGATTAACAAGTGTCGATAATATAGGATTACCAAATGCCGATAGTTCAACTCGTAGATTATGTAAAGTAAAATCTAAAATTCGCTTGTTTGAATAGCGTTTGAGTAGAGAGATTATTTAAATGTTCTTGTCTCTGGTCTAAGAGGATGTACGAGCATGTGAATGTTTTTAAAAAAAAATTATCAGAAAATATATGTAACATGTTTTTACCTGATTGTCAATTGAAGGTTTTTGTAACATCGTATCTGAACTCTAAGATTGGATTTAAGCCCCTTCTGATGAATCCTACTATATTAATTGAGAAGTACAAAAATAAATATAACCTTATAAGTTGTAAGAATTTACATTGCAATGCTATTAATTTTTGTTTTAAAATGACAAAAAAACACTGAGGGTAGTAAAGATAATTAAACAAATAATCAAACCAATTAAAAATATAAAATTGCAAGATAATCTATAAACTATATATAAAATCGCAAAATTATCAAAAAACAATATTGCTTGGATATAGAAACATAAATTCTCAATTAAATAATAACAAATCAAATTATTACAAATGTATATTAAATAAAGAGTTCAGCCCACGGTTTATCATGGGTTAGTACCTAGTATATGATTATGACTTTGTAAATCAATCAATTGTAAAATTAAAAGAGAATGAGTAAAAATCGAATCTGAATATTGTTTAAACTATATACCAATAAAAAATATGAATTTAGTAAGGTTATTGTGGTTGTAATGAAATAAAAGTGAAATAAATTTTACTATGTTTTAGAAGGTTACGAATATTTACAAAATCTGAATTTTAAGTTTACAAAAATTATTTAATAAAAAATATTTTGATCAATCTCACAAGTGCTTGTAGATGTCAAGCGGGGCTTGCCGTGGAGTAAACCATGCTTCTACCTTTTAGTCACTCTCTCTCTATCTCTCTCTCTCTCTCTCTCTCTCTCTCTCTATCTCTATCTCTATCTCTATCTCTATCTCTATCTCTATCTCTATCTCTATCTCTCTATCTCTCTATCTCTCTATCTCTCTATCTCTATCTCTATCTCTCTCTCTCTCTCTCTCTCTCTCTCTCTCTCTCTCTCTCTCTCTCTCTCTCTCTCTCTCTCTCTCTCTCTCTCTCTCTCTCTCTCTCTCTCTCTCTCTCTCTCTCTCTCTCTCTCTCTCTCTCTCTCTCTCTCTCTCTCTCTCTCTCTCTCTCTCTCTCTCT